GGGGGAGTGTCGGGGCTGGGGCCTTATCACTTGATAGGCCATCACACTGCCACAGTGGCAGTGGCCACGGCACCGCCGGGGCCGCAGCCGCAGGGTACCGCAGGGCTCTCCAGCCGATTTCCTTCCCCCCTCCCCCTCTCTCTCGCTCGCTTATTCCTGATTCCCTCAGGACGAAAGCCCCATCGAGAGAATGATGCTCAGGCGGCGCCGGTCTAAGTGAAATCTCGTCCGCAATTTCGACTGGATTACGGTCCCAAATGCTTCTTCCATTTGAAATGCCTCTTTCTAGAGCCGTTCCTCTCCTGCTCTACCGCAAGTAGGGTAGGGCGTCTCTGATGTCGCAGCTCTAGCCAGCCTGCGCCTGCGCCTCTGAATGTGTGTGACCCTTTGGAGATCCTCCTCGACAACGGTCAGCCTCCTTCTGCTATTGCGAGTCGGCTGAGCTCCGCCCCTAAAGTCGCGGCAATTCGTTAAAGGGGTTGTGCATGGCAGGTGCAGCGGGAGAGGCGCGCACACGCACACACACACACACACACACACACACAGGCGCATCTGCACCTGAGCGTGTTCGCAGTCGTCCGGCCGTCGATTGACTTATAAAACGGCAACGTGTGTAATTAAAGAAGACGTGCAGCCAGCGCAGAGATGCACTTTTCCAAAATTTAATTTATTTCTTTATCATCGGTTGCAGTTTTCGTTCACTCAGGAGGAAAAGGGTGCCGAGCCGAGCGCTGAAACGTTTCTCGAGAACGTACCACGATTCATTGTCGAAGCACTTCATAGTATTTCTGAAAAAAATAAGAAGAAGAAATCCGTAACTGGACCAATGATTATTGGAGAATAAACAGCGTTGTCTTCTACTTTTGTGTTTGCAGGGTAAGTGCCGGCGCGGGGCGGAGCGGAGTGGATGGCCAACCTCAGCACGCCAATTCGCAAGCTATATGAGCCATTCGGGTCCGGCGGCGGGTACCGGGCGGGTACCAACAGAAGAGGTACCCGGGCGCCGGGCTGTGGACCCGCCGGTGAGTGCGAGGGAGACGGAGCGCGCGGCGACTACCGTTAATGTCCAATAAATACCGCACGCTAGTACCCGGCCCGGCCCCGAGGTACCCGTCGCAGAGACAGACCTCGTCGCCGTCGCTTTGGTTAATGTCCGGCAGATCTGGTTCCGCTCCTGGCCAAATAACGTCTGGACGTGATTTTTTGTTCTGCAACAAACAACAGAGCGCGGTGGACGGCAGCGGGCGACGGACGACGAGGGTCGAGACGAGGAAGGGTGGGTTGTGTGTTTGAATGGGCCGGTAGTTTGCGGGTAGTACCAGCGCGTCCTGCCCATGGGCCATGCGAGCAGCGTCTCAAATGCGCCATGCACGGAGTGGTCGAAAGAGACAATTGACATCAATTTCTCATCACAAAGTGGGCAACATCATTTAGCGGATCCCCGCCAACCGGATCCGCCCCTGGTGAGGTTAAACTTTGTGCGTAAAACGAGAAGGGCTCTGCAAACGTCCTGCAAGGCGACACAGTCGCATTAAAGAAGCGGAATGGCCGGGTCGATAGATGGATGGCGGACGTTACGACTTCATTTCATTTCATTCCGAGCCGGGACGGCAACTCTGACCAGATCGGCCTGAGTGTTTGAACCGTGGCGATGCTGGTGCTTGCTGTCCAAGACTGAAAAATACACCGAGAAAATGGTTTCATTGACCTACTGGTACTTCCCTTAGTTCCAACCGAAATTTCCGTTCATAAAGCATGAAAGAATTTTTTCGTTACTCTGAATGCGCTTTCTTTGTTTTAAAGAACGATTTTTTACCCTTCTGTCATTTTTCTTTTGAAGCATTGGAAAATCATTTGAATCAACAGAAAAATTCCAACACAACATCAGACATAAAATCAACGGAACCGTTTTCTGCGGTTTTCTGGGTGTAACTTTTCCCACATACTTTTTATTCATTTCGCAGCAATGATTTTCATTCCTGTAGCCCAACTAACGTGATAAAACGAATCCCACCGACTGGTGCCGCCGTACAGCTATGCGGGTTGGTTTGCCCTGCAACCAGTACGACGCACTCTGTGGGCCTCCCTACAAGTTCGAGAAAAAATTACCCATTTTTTTTTCGGGGCATAGCAGTAGCCGTGAACTACTACTGCGCGGCGGGTCTGTTGCTGTTGTTTGTCCAGCTAGGTCACGAGGCCACCTCTCATCTTACACACCCTATCAGGCTGTTATCGCCGGCGGAGGAATCATTGTTGCGTGTTGAGCGAGAGCGTGCGCCGCGCGCGCGCCTATGTCAAAACTGTCGCGTCCCTTTTGATTGCAACCCCCTGGTGGAGGGAGAGAGAGAAAGAGAGAGGGAGAGACAGTGGGAGACAGTGAGAGACAGAGAGACGAGGGGGCGGTGGTGTGGTGTGAGACACTCGCAGGGCTGCCACCCGCCGCGTAATGCTCATACCCACTCCTTGATGTAATCGCAGGGGATTAGCCCGGCATTAGTGGCGTGATGGTGTGTTGGCACCACTGCCTCTGCTGCTTGCCTCTGCTGTGTGGTGGCAGCCCTGGGTCGCACGCGTGGACGACGAGCGGGCACGGCAGGCAGACACTCCCACTGCCAACAGCGCTATCATCTAATTTTTTCCTGCCACGCCGTGCCCTGCTTTTGCTCTGTGCTGGTGATTCGGCAACTCCTCACACACACATACGGCGGACGTCCGAGGCGCGGCTTCTCAATCCGATGTCACAGCTCGCTGCATAAAGCACTCTGGGAGACTCGCGGGCGGTCCCGGCGCTCTGTAAGTGAGCATCGCTGGTGGTGTTTGATATGGGGTGATCGTTGTGCTCACATCATAGGACTGGGCATGGTCCGCTCGGTTCAGAAACAGCCCACCCATCGGAAGGACGATCTGGAAAAAGGCCCACACCTGAACCCATATTACAACTCCAACAAAAGTTTCTATGATATCTTGTTCTATCGATTTTTTAGACAGCCCCCAAAACTATCTCCGACAGAGGGAAACGAGTTTTTAAAATATATGTGATGCTGCTCTGTGCTGCTGGAAAAATATCATTCTGGCTTCTGGCTTATACTCCTTGCGAATCGAAACAGCAGTGTCGATGAGCTGCTTCGTGTGTTCGCGAATGCGTCCTCGGGGTGCGATGATAGGCGCCGCCCGAAGTGGACCGTGACTGTCTGTGGTCGCGCTTCACGGCGCTTCGTCGCGGCACCCTCGCGAGAGAGACAGTGAACGCCGTATGTCGGCCGCAATCTGTTGTGTTGTTTGGCCGTCGAGTCGAGAGCTAGGCTACTGGGAGTTGTATATTCTGCTCGCACGAGCTGCGCTATACACCATCGACCTGACGTAATTATTTGTGTACATGGCACGGAGCCTCCACGTGCGGCACTACGTGACGAGAAAGCTGACGTCAGATTGAAGTACAAGTGTGCGGTGAAACTAAAAGCCTCGTCGAAGAACCGCCGAGACGACATCGAATCTATACGTTTCGCGGATGTTTCCTCCATAAGGTTTCCCTGTCCTCGCTGGGGTGAAAACTACACGTCAGGGACTGCTCTCCGCCGCGGGGCGTTCACCGGATAAACATGAACAGTTTTGATTCCGGTCGGATCACAATTCGATCCTCGTCGGTGTGACGGGGGAGGGAGAGAGAGAGAGAGGGTCGCGGACAGGGGAGGGCGGTCGTGCTGCCCGGGGAG